TTGCTAGATGGAGAAAGAGGGGAGCCCACCTACCCTTAACGATTCCCCTCCCCCCCGGCGAAAAACATCCGAGGCCGGGCGCTGGCGCCGGCGCCGGTTTTGTCAACCCAGGCGCCTTGGGATATGGGCGAAGATGGGTGGTTCGAGCTATCCTAGGTCCTAGGTCCTTTTCTTGAAAAACCCGGTTCTTACTTCAGGTTTTGGAGTTGTCAAAGTTGCGGATGGTTTGGCAGAAGGGGTTTTAGGTTGCCACTTGTGGGGATAACCGACCCCCCGCAGTGACAAAGTAGGCGGGGTGATGGGAAGCCCACTTTGGTATCACAGAAAGAGCGAAGAGCGAATTTCCACAACCAGCGCCAAGGATGAATAGGGGGCCGGCTGTGCCATTTGAGAGGAACCCTTCACTTTTTTGGGGGAACACACCCCGTGAAGTTACGATGTTTGCTATTTAATCCAGGGTCGGCATTGTCATTGCGGGCTGGCCATTCAACAAGTTTTGAGTGCCATCAACGACACGGGGTACCCTCAAAGAAAGACACACTCATTTGAGTGGGGAATTGGTAGGGTTTTTCTACGCTGCGATCGGGTCAAATAGGCAACCCGTGTGTGTGTGTGTGTTATGTGTGTGTGTGTGTGTTGGCATTGTTGTTTCTTTGTTTTAAGTATATAATTCATCATATTTTGAAAGCCATATTGTAGTCATGGGTGCTTTCGGGATGCAGTTTGCATTGGCAGCATGATAAGCATCGCGAGCATGTTCCGCTCAGAAACTCATTTCGATGTCACAATTCCAGTGGAAATGATACCTAAGTTGAGATATTTACCAGGGTTCCATGCAGAAGATACATCCAACAACCACCTGCAGAGGCACAGACTTGGATCCAAACCTGGTTTCACGTGAAGCATGCCATCTGAATTATGTGGTTTTCCTTCTGGCTTCCCTTTAAATCAAGGTGCCAGCGAACCTTGCCTTGCGGGTGATGGACGCCAGAACCGGGTAGAAAACGGCCAAAAAAGAAGAGGACAAGCCTTGCCTTTGGAAATGGTGCGGGGCCACCCTGGGATTCAAACCATCACGTGGCCACCCGAGCTGAGTCTCGGAACTGGAGCTGGAAGGTGCCCAGCGCCTGTTGTGCGGCGCAGCAAGTCGTGGCGCAAGGGAATTAAAACCATCGTTGAGACGATAATCAAGCCACCTTTGTTTTGCTGAGGAGTTTCATCAGGGTGATCAGTTCAAGACCCAAGTGCCAGTTCTGTGGATAAAATGGATGGTTGGCTTTTTTCTTGTTTTTCCTCACACCAAGTAGAGGTTCTTTTGCCCTAGCCTCACCACTCACCACCAAACTGAACCAACGATTGACTGAGATCCAGGCGGTCGCCGCAGCAGCGGCGCCGGCTGCTGGTGCGCCGGCGCCGGCCGGCCGCGGCTTCCACGCGCTCGGCGCGCAGCCAGTGGCCTCAGGAAGTACACTCCATGGAAATGCCGTGTCACTGGCCCTTGTGCAAAGAGGACCTTTCTTGAAAGGGAGCCTCTTCGTCAGTACCCCGAAGTTAGCAGTATGTGGACGAAATCCACTTTGCGCCAGGTCGAATTCATATTGAGGATGGACAACATCCTGCACCAGTTGGGATTTCTGTGGAACATCCCAGTTTCATGCATGCCGCGGCGTGGTTATTGAGACAACATGACAGGTGTTCCTGCAACTTTGAGGGACCCTGATTTGTTAAGGTGGGGAAACCTAGATTGATCTTATTCAAAGTAGCGCATGGCATGGCCACCAGGAGTGGCCCCCCCGCCTCTTAATAACAACAAAGTAATTTCATTTTTATTTTATTTACAAGAAAAACAACGAGTGCAAGCCTCGGGTCTTTCGCTGAGGCATGGCCTTCGCCTGGCGGCCAGCGCGGGCCTGGCCGCGGTCGGAAACTCAGGTGAGGAAGGGGTTTTGGAGGTGGCCCAACTGTTTGGGAGGTTTTGTGAGGAGGGTTTTATAGAGGTTTTTAGAGATTTTATCAGAAGGGTTTTGTAGAGGTTTTGTAGAGGTTTTGTAGAGGTTTTGTAGAGGTTTTGTAGAGGTTTTGTGGAGGGTGTTGTAAGGAGGGTTTTGTAAGGAGGGTTTTGTAGAGGTTTTGTAGAGGTTTTGTAGAGGTCTTGTAGAGGTCTTGGAGCTTTTCGAAGGGGATGTGGCGTGTTTAGTTTGAGATTTTTGAGGTTATTGGGTCTGAGTGGAAGGGCTGATGTACAAGCTCAAAGGTACCAAACAAGGTACCAAGATTGAGTTTTGCAGCTTTTTGGGCGCCTGCCCTTCGAAGTCCAGGGGTTTCGAAATGAGGTTCGCTGGAAATTCCGAAGTTTGTGGAAATTGGTGTGAGGTTTGGGGCACAGAAATCGACAGGAAGGACTCGATTTTTCCCATGCCCGCCAGCATAACCGCATATTCTGAGGGCTCAACCGGGAGCGACATGTTTAAGGTCCAACATGGCTCAGCTTCTATTTCTTCCATTTGCTGAATAGTATGTTGTATTTGCCCTTGTTGGCTCTAAATGGAGGGGTTGCCGGCTTAGCATTTGTGTCCCAGACTGGACCCAAGTGCACATGTTCTTTTTATCCTTTCGCTCAAATGGGGTGATTTTCGGGGTTGGTTGCTTGGTTTAGTTTAGGCTGGTCGCTCGCTCGGTGTGGTTTGACGCTCTGTGCTGGGGAGCTATGGAGGAGGAGTAAGACCGCCTGCTTGACCATGTAACCCTTATCCAATGCTTCCAGTCAACTAGAGCAGCATTCAGACACTCACATGTTCCAGGTAAGAATTCCTGGACACTCTGGGTTGGTTTGGATTGGCTTCGGATTGGGATGTGAAGCCCCGGTTCTTGAGGGATTCTTGAGGACACCCGAACACCCAACAATCCACTCCAAGAAATGTCGGTCCGATCAACCCCATAGCTTTCAGCTAGGGAATATACGGAGCTCTGTGAAGTGCATTGGGTTTGCATCTCCCGCTCATGCAGCAGCAAACCAGGTCCAGAACAAGAGATCCATGGAAGAATTCCGACGTAGAATTGTGGGTGGCAGGGTTGGCTGCCCTAAGCTGGACCTAAACCCAGGTTGATTTTTCCTGAGTCCACAAAAGTAACTCCCGAAGGATTCCCTGCGGTGCGCACTGCTAAAACGCCGAGGCGTTTTGCCAAGCGCGGCGCAGCAAGGCCAGCAAGGCGAGGGGTGGGGGCGAGAGTTGTTTTCGTTTGGCCTGCTGAAGCCATCAACAGGGCCGGGGGTGGGGGTGGTCAGGTTCTTACATTTTGATTTTTGGCAACGAACATGGCCCTACTTTTACGGAAAGAATTGACTTTCCCTGTCAGGTTTGCGGGTTTGTTGAAGCCATCAAACGAGGGGCTTCGCCGTTTGAGGCGGGCCCATGCAAACAAGTTTTCGACGCGGGAAATCCCCCTTCGCATGCCCGAAGCACGGCCCAAAAAGAGCCTCTCCGATCACCAACCCAGGACCCAGCATCTCCAACATCCCCAGCATCCCCAGCCCACTCCATCCAGGAAGCCCAACCCCCTCCAGGTGCCCAAAAACTGCTGGCAAGCCACCAGATTGCAGCTTGGGTTGCGAGAGGATAGGGTTCGGCATCCCAAAGGAAGATCGGGGCTGCTCACCAAATGCCCATTAATCGGGCGCTCACCAAATTCCCAGCACGCAACGGGACCTCGCCAAATTTGCATTCGAACATGGGGCTCACCGTTTCCCACACGCTGGGTGGCAATGTTCGTCAACGAGCTCAGATTGCAAAGCGAGCTCACAAAGGCCCTCGCAGGCAGATTTGGGCACGGAGCCTGAAAATGCTGAACTCAGAACCCTAGGTGTCCTTTTTGGTTTGCTTAAAAAAGTAGAGGGCCCTGGTTTAGATGGGGTTTATTCCATTGACCAGGGGAACCCATCTACTTTTCCAAAAGGCCACCTATGCTCAGAGCTCCCTTTGGGCAGGTTTCTTCGGGCATCCCTCGCCGTTTTGGGAACGGACCGGTCCTTCCAAGAGGCCCAGCGGGTGCGGCGGAGCGCTGGAGAGGAAGGCGCAGACCTGGGATCGCGGAAAAAGCGTCGTTGGGCGGTGAGGCTTGCTGCCGCCTTTTTGCGGAAGAAGCGGATGGTGTCCAACATATTTTGCATATAGTCTGCGAAAAGGTCTGAATTTGGGATCTACAATATGATACAAGGTATTTTGTCATTCTATCAAACACCAAGAAATTTTCAATCTTGAGACAGACTCCTCCTTCCCTTGCTTGATGAATATGTCGTGTTTTCTCCTGTAGGTCTGTAGATTTCGAAGGGAATCTATCACTGCAGGACATGCCATTTTTTCCCAGGCGACTTAGGCGCATGGTGGTGCAGGGAACCGTTGGGGCTGGAAGGGGCATTGCCGCACTTCGATTTTTTTCGAGTCAGATGTTTCTATCACACGCTGAAATTGCCAGGCTTCGCGTTTCGGAGTTCCTTGTTTTTCTCCGCCAGCCAAAAGTTCGCTTGCAAGGGGTGCTCTGGTAAGCCTGGCCCAGTAGGAAAAAGGATCTCCAAGGATGCCGATTGTTCTGAAGGGCGTGTTGTTGTTTGGATGTCTTTTGGGGGGGCCCAAGCCTGTCCTGTAGCAACGTAAACTCTTTTTGATGCCGCGCACATTGCGAGAAAGGCTAAAGAGAGGCTAAGCTGTTCAAAAAGCTTGCCCTGGGCTTTCTCGATCTTCCCTAGCCGTTCGAAGTCTGGCCGGCCCATGGAACAAACCAAAGGAGCTTGCCTAGTTTCACCTTCCCCACAGGATACGCTTGGTCTCTCTCTCATGATCCCTTCTTCGCTTTTTGGCAGGCCGCAAGATGCTTGGATTTCCTGATGTCTTGCGCGCTTGATCTCCTTGTTAGCTTTTGCCCCTTTGGTCCGAGTCTCGCGTTTGTTGGAGGCACCACTCCGACATTTGTTCGAACCATGGACATGTCATGGACTTGTGGGGATGGATGTGTCCTTTCCCCGCAACAGCTACGGGGGTCTAAGCCAATCCTGGGTTTGGGTGGAGCTTCCTTTCTGTGTTCGGGGGAGGTTCCGGGCACTCTGGGGGACTTTAGGTGGGGAATCATGTTTTCATGTTGAGGGGTTTTAATCGTTTTCACGTTGACCCCATTGACCAACCAGTTGATTAGGGTGTCCCTGGGTTTTGTGGGCACTTTTGGAGGGGAACACCCCTGTATTGATAACCTGGGGTTGATGAATATGGGGTCAACATTACACTTTTTGCCACTAGTGCGGGAGCAACCATGGGAAGTCAAAAGGCTTCCGGAAGACGTTTTGGTTTGCTTTCAACCACCCAAACTTGGGTCCACCATTTTAACAGACCCCCCCCGGCATATAAGGAGCCCTTTCTTTTTTGAAACCAAACGAGCCCTTCATTGGTGTCTGGTTTGAGCCCCTGTTTCTCGAGAGGGCAAATAGGAACACATCCACCAGCTTCCAAACCACGAATTGGAGGGAAGCCTTTCCTCGCAGGCGAGGACTTTGCACGGCCCTTCCCCTTCTCCGCGGTGGTAGGCGGGGGATTCTGAGAGCACCAGAGCGACGAGAGTTTGGTCGGCTTGTCTTTTTCTAGGATTTGGACGCCACAATTGCACAACGGTTCTCCTTTTGATTTTCCTTTAAAATCATGGAACATGGGTACCCTTCGCCTCAATCGCACGGTTTTGAGGTTTCCACGGGACGGCTGGAGCGGTCCCGGTGGTGTCTGGGCGGATTTGAACCCGCCCAACTTGGGTGGTGCGAGAGACACCTTGACGAATGGTTGGTGGACACAAATACCCACGCAAGTAATGTCTACCCAAGGGTTCCCAACTAAAACTCATTCTCAACTAATTCCTAGGGTTCAACCCCTATAATATCATCCATTTTGAGGTTGCTCAAAGGGGAACCCATTTCTTTTCTTTTTTTTGGGAGGCCCAGTTGCAACCAGCGAGATGCCAATTTGGTTCAATCTTGTCCACCCATTTGTGTGCTTCTGTTGCCCGGAGCAGAGACTCTTGGAAGTCTCTTCACCTTTTGCTGGGTGCTCCCGTGCCTTTGGTGTGGTCCCTGAACGTGGTTTAGCCCGCATTTAGTAGCCCACGGGATGGCCCACATTGGTATGGCACAATACCCAGAGCGCTGTAAAGGCACCAAAGGAAACTATCACTTTGATGGGTACCCGTATTTTAACACACTTTTTGGAGCACCAGGGCAAGAGATTTCGTAGTGAGCTCACTCGCATGAAGGTCCCTTACTGAGAAGTTCCTTCATGGTTGCGGGAACCACACTAGTTAATTTTGACCCTGGATTCAAAAACCGGTGGGTCGATCCGTTGGATGTCCCAGCGAAACCTTCACTTTTCGGGGAAACGAAGCCACCAGTTTGGTGGGTCCACATGGACTAGTGCAGATACATTGTGCAGATCCAGATGGGTATTGAGGGGCCGTGGCTTTCCTTTTGGTTTCCCTCTTCCATCAACATGAAGAGCCGCAAAACCACATGCGCCCAGATATTGCGCTTGGAAGGATCCATGGCGGCGGCTAATGGCCCGCGGGTTTTCCATTTGAAGCGGGTGTTCCAGATGTCCGGTATTTTTCTCGGGCGGTTTTAAGCGTCGCCTTTCGGCAAGGCCAATTTTTCCAGTATGCTTGAGGGGCGATGCCTCAAGGGGAAGTATCGGGAGCCCGGTGTTCCGGCTTCTCTTGCAGACTCTCTTGGCGGGAGGTCCACTGACCTGTGGGACGTGAACTTCCATTCCAGGGGACGTTCTCCGAACATGGGCTCGCCCGTGGCATTTGTCCATAGACTTCAACTTAGGGGCCTTTCTTTAAGAACACCATCTGGGTTTAATTCGACGTTGGAATAGTACCCCCCGCTTCAAAGGAAAGTGGAGCCCTTTTTTCTTTTTGACGTTGTTCTCGAGCTGGTTTCCGTTGCCCAGGTTCTGCAGCATGTATATACCTGGATCCAAACAAAGATCCAACGATGCATTGCACACGTCTCCATATCTTCCCAGCTAACACCCCTGGGGTCTTTCTCCGCTCAGAGGCTTGGCTGCGGGTTCCGGGGTTTTCCGGTTGCGGTTGGGGACCTGGGAAGCCGAAAAAGCGCAGCCAAGTCCTTCTAGTCCCTGAGATGACATAAAAACAAGAGAGCAGGACGCAGTTAGAATCTGAGATTGTTTTTTTTGTGCGCACATTTCAAGCTGTCTGGAATCTGACTAGCCCTGGCATAGACTTACAGATGCAAATAAAAAGAAAGCGGGCCGCTGCGTTTAGTTGCACATGTTGATTGGAAATTCAAGTTGAACTAAGTTCGACTTATTTGCGTTTAACTGTCAACTAATTTGTAAAGACAGTTTCGTTGGAAACAAAATCCGGTGTCAATTAAGGTAGGGTGGTTTAAGGTAGGTGGCGGGTGGCACCCACCTCAAGTGGGCTTAAACACAGCCATGGCTGCAGCCAACTTTAAACCCAACCCCAAGAAGCCCCGCCATAAACCAGCACTTTTCCATCTGCTGCAAGCACAACCACCCCCAAATTTGCTCTCAATAGGTTTGGAACCCACCGAGAGCCGACCCTGAGCCCAGCCTAAACCAAAACCTGGTGATGCTGAGGATGTTGAAAACGATGCTGAGGATGTTAAAACGCAAATCGACTGCCCCAAACCTACCCCTACCCTAAACCTACCCCAAACCTTTATCCGTTCGTGTCTCCTTTTGTGCACACCAGGCTGTGCCAGGGTTAGGCTAATGCCAGGGCTATGCACAAAAAAACACCTCAGCCAAACAAGTGCCATCTCAGGGCGCCCTGTTTTGTAAAACAATGGACCTAAGGATTGTCATCATCCAATTGGACACCCTGCAGTACCAGGATCTCCGCTGTTGCCTTTCGAAGCTTTTTGGCAGTTCTGCCGCCGGCCAGGCCAAGAGGAGATCAAGCTGGCGATTTTGCTGAATCTGGCGCCACCGGCTGATTCGCTTCGGGGTTCCTTTGAGAGTTTGCATGTCGCCGCAAAAAGGTCGACAGCACTGAAGCGCCAAGGGAGATATGTACGAGCCGCTGTTTCAGGCAGTAGAAACATTTGAATGGGTGATAGTGTTCCCCGCCCGTTGGCGGAGGGGCCGGACAAGGGGACTCCAAGCGCTCTTTGTATGAGTTGCCCCCCCCCCCCCTCTCCGCGGTTTTGGAAGCAAGTTCCAGGCTGACTTGCAGTGCAGATGTTAGTCTTTCGTTGGCTTGGGTTTGGTTTCGCATTTCGGGCTTGCTGGCTTGGTTTTGTTGTCCCCCACAAGTAGATCTGCGCTGCAGAGTTGTGATTGGCCTCTTTGGCAAATTCGGTTGCTGCCTTTATGTAGATTTCCTTTTAAGATCATCTCCCAAAAACAGATCCCGGTGGTTTGACATGTAATTGGCATTCTTGTTTTGCAATAAATCGCTGGGGATGAAAGGGCCCGTATTTGGTCGCTGGGCAAATGGTATCACGATTGCTTTGATTCAGAAGTCGAGCAAACATAATGTTGAAGTTTGAAAGGAGACACATGGGGCATACCGTGAGAATCTGTGCTGTGCAACCCAGATTTGGGTTAAGTGGGTGTCTGTTCTGCAGAGCGCTCCATTTGAGGTTCGGTTTCATGGGTAGTAAGGCCTATAGAAACCAATGGCCATGCTGCCTGTGAAGAGCTCACCTGCGGATGAAATGGTGCTTTACCTGGGGATCCAATTCTAATTTCCGTTTTTGTTGGATTCTAAACCAAATGCAGGTGGTTTAAACAAACGGGTTTCCGACCCTGCTTTTGTGGACGCACGCAACCCTACAAAAATCTTGTCGCCCTGTTCGTAAAAGAAAGGGTTCCCTAACATTTCCCGTTGGAACATCACCCCCAAAGGAAGCTTACTTCAAATTGGTGACGAAAAGGTAATGTACAAGACCGGAGATATAGGGACTTCCTGAAGCATATTGGCTTCCCAAAGTGTTTGGTTTCCTTTGATTCCCTTTGCCTACCAACCACAAGGGGTCCATTTTGAGAACCCCCCTATGGCCATGTTCATAAAACATCAAACAGCTCGAATTGGTGAGCAGCGGGTCTCCCGCGACCCGCTGCTCAGATGTTCTTCTCACTTGCCCAACTTCAACCTTTTGACCACTTTTTGGCAACCATTTGTAGCGGACCGACAAGGAAACTCACTCAAACTGGCAACCAAAGGTGATGCTTCAAATTGGAAACCTACGGGAAAAGGTTAACCTTGGACCCCAAAAGTTAACACCTTCTAGCTAGTCTTTCCCTGTTTGGTAACCTTTTTTGTGACCCCAAGACGCCAATGCGTTTTGGTTTCCCCTTTTTGGCAACCTTTTTTAGTCACAGGTGTCCGTTTTAGGCGAGCCTGGTTAAAATCGATGGGTTCCACTGGTTTAGATGGGTTTTGTTCCATTTACCAGGGAAACCCGTCCATTTTTCCAAAAGGCCACCTATGTTTTCAGCGGCACAGGTTGCGGTTCCCCCATGCCAGGTGGACCCCTCCATTGGCGGCGTGATGATCTCCGGGGACCGCGGCACAGGCCTGCGATGCGCTACCGAGCGACGCGAGCGGGAGCTGTTTTTTTTTTTTGGCTCTTTGGCGTTTTAGCTTTTGAGTGTTTAGTCGTAGTTTCCACTTAACCCGCCCATATAGATCGCTGTGGCTCAAAGAAATGTACCAGAATGGCACCCTTGGCAAATGGAAGCAACGACTAAAACCTGTGTAACCCCAGCTCTTTGATTTTGAGCCACGCCCAAATGGCAATCAAAGGGAAACACCGATTCTTGTGGGTGACCCTGCGGGTGTTTCTAACTATGGAGCCCTTGTAAAGGAAACCTGGAAGGCAAGCCAAAGCTAGGGGTTCCCTATTTGGTAAACACCCAAGTATCTTCAGGATGTGGATCTGAATAGGGGACCCTTTGGCGAACATCAGAATTCGGTGAGTGACCACCACTTGTGAGGTGGTTCCGACTCGTAAACATCCTAGTTTTAGACATATCAGTAGTAAATTGGTGTGTCTTAGAATGCCCCTCACAAATGGTTGGTGTGCTTTTACTTTTCCTTTAAACAATCTCCAGCACCATGGTGCCAAGAGTTCTGCAATGTGCCCTGTAGCAATTGGCAAACGCATGTTCCAGAGTATCTAGGCGGTTCTGCAAGCCACCGGCTTGGGCACTGCTCTCGTCAGGCAAGTCCACCTGTGTGCGGGGCATGGCGCGCAGCCCAGCCGGGAATTTATTCTTTTGGTGCGGCTGAAAAATGGAATCCAACCGGAGCAGCTTTTTGAAGGACCCCTTGGGAGACAAACCTGGGGCTGTGGTTTTGGCGTTGCTCAAAGGACCAAAAGGACGCTCGACCCGAGGGGTGTGGCTTAAAGGGACCCCGAAAAGGACAATGGGGGGGGGCCTTTGGTCTTGGCTTCTAGGGTCTTTGGATGTGTCGAACCCTCCAAACAAGTGCGGACGTCCCGGGGAGGGCGTTTTTTTGTCCTCAAAAAGATGGCCTCCCCGGGGCAGCGGAGCCCTCCGAATCGGAGCTATGCCTCTGCCCTTTCAGTCAACTCCACCTCCCTAGAAATGAACATGGAACCCGAGCAAACGCCCCTTGGTAGAGGCATCTCCTCTTGAGAAACCCCCTTTCGCAAATCTGTTTCGGCGATGTGGGGGTCGCCCTTCCTTAGAAGAAAAGCCACAGGGATCTTTCGGCGGATGGTCAAAGTGTGCTTGGTTCCTGCCTAAGGGTCAGCCCAAATGGGTTTGGATGTTCAATCAATGCTGGTTTAAGCATGTGGGGTTGGCCCCCCAAAATTGGTGGTTTTCCTGTTGCTCCCCTTTGACATCACCAAGGATAGCCATACCTGCACAATTGGTTGGCCTTACGAAGACAGTGCTTCGACATGGCTCAGTGCAAATTCCCATCCCCAGGTTCTGAGATCAAGCTTTCGGGACCCTCCAGCCGGACTTTGCTGGGGTCTCCCCCCAACTGCTCCGTGGGCAGACGAAATCTGGGACCCAAAACATGGAAGGCTGCTTCTTTCGTTTCCCTGAAAAGTAGTCCAGCAAAAGCACGGCCCCCCCCCAAAACAAAAAACACACACACACCCACGCTGGTCGGGTCAGGCTGGGCTGGGCTGGGCTTGGCTTGCTGGTTGGTTGGTGGGTTGGTTGCTTGCTTGCGTGCTTGGTTGGTTTCTGGGGTTTCTTTGGTTTATTGAGGGATCCACTTTTTGGGATGCTCCCCCAGGACTTTAGGAGGCTAAGGAACCCGTTTGGGGTTATAACATGGCAACCACGTCTGCTCTTGTTGATAACGGCTCTTCTCCTTCACAACATCCAAGCTCAATTTGTTTTCTTGTGCTCCTCCTTCATGTAGCTTTTTCACTTATCTTCTTTTTGTTCTTCCACCTCCTCAATTTTGTTCTTTTTGGACATTGGTTTGAAGCAAGCATGGCGACCTCCTTTTGCGTCACGAAAATTATGTTTGAGCCTGCAAGGTGCGCTTGCTGCCGGACATCGAGGTGGCCGGGAGCTCAACACGGGGCTCAGGGTAACTCCTTGAATTGGAGTAGAACTTGACGGATTGAGAAAGCGCTTCCCCAGAAGGGGAAGGACGGTTCCCCAACACACATGCATCAGCCAGAGGTTGATACATCCGGGGTCAACATTATGGCCCCGAATTGGTTCCAAATTGTCAGCCAGATGCCATCGATGATGGTATCTGGCTGGCAATTTGACACCAATTTGGGGCCATCATGTATCATGTTTGTGTGCACACAGGACACGTCTCAAGTTGTGACTGAGAGAAAGCAGCCTTTCCTGCGAGTGCGGGGGATTGGGACTTGTCCATGGAACCCAAGGGCAGTTCCTAATATAATTCGTAACCCCAGTGATTTGGCAACATTACAACAACTTCCTGCTTTTCTCGAATCTCGCTTAAAGGAGGGTGGTTGTCCGAATTCATTGGGGACCTCCTTGCTTGTTTTCCTGGGGGTGTCCCTTAAACATCAATCAACACTCAGGCAACTCCTAATTGGTGGTTTGCATTGGTGGTTGGGGGATTTGAACCCTTGGTTCTCATAAAGGGTAAGTGGGAGTTCCCACCTTAACCTTCAAAAACACCGGGCTCCAAACCACCAATGGGTAGGAAACTGAAAAACAGACGGGTGTCCTCCCCCTGGTGTTGGTTTAACACCATGGGTGTGGACCAAGGCTGGTCCTGGTGTGAGACCTTCGCCTCGTAGACCCCTTTCTTGGAAGCAATGGCTCTTCGGATATCCTCCCTCGGAGGCTGACAAAAGGGTGTTTGTTGACTACCTCTATTTTTGCGGACATCCCCTGTCCACTTCCATGACTGTTGGAAAGAGGGTAAGCCTAAAAAAGGTACCCAGTATGAAAGACGTGACATAAGATCCCGCCGCTGCACCCGTAGCAGGAGATTGAATCATCACCCTTCTTTGCGAATTGGTCGAGCTTCATGTTGGTGAGGCTGCTCAATGTCAGGTTGCCAAGACTGTTCCCATGGTGGATACAACAAGTACCACCTTTCAAGTCGTAAAATGCAGGCCCTACACCTGGTGCTGCCTTCAAAGGTGGTCAAAAGGTATTGCCGTTGGCCCACTTCAAAACAGCTGCAATGGATGACACCCTGTAAATGCTGGGAGAAACCAACCTACCAACTGGTTCAGGATTTTGTCCATCCTATCGGTGTCTGTTAGTAATATTGTCGGGTATCCATAAATGTCTGATATCCCCAAATCATTTTTTTGATAAAACCCCGCCCCCCCTCCTACGCATTTCCTGACGGTATTTTTGTGAGTGTGCCCCATGTCCTCTGCACATGAACTTAAGGATCACTTGTTTCAGAGTTTGGAAGAATTGTGGCATTTCCAGATCAATAGGGGGTATAGCCGTTTATTTGTTTACAGAGTTTTGGATTGACTTTTGTATTAAAACGCGGGCCAGACAAAACAAACAGAAGAGAGTGTGCGGCTACTGCCCAAAATCTTGTGTCAGTTGGGGGGACAATATTATTGGCCATGCTTATTTTGCCTTTTGTCATCCCTTTGGGTGTCCCTTGAATCATCTGACCACAGGGGGTACCCTCAAAACACACCAGTTCCCATTCTCCTTTGCGAGGTGAAGGGCGACCCCTACAACTCCCACCCCACCGACGTGTCTCTGATGAGCGACGAGGCATTGCGTCGAGTCGCGTCTGTCTCAACGGCAAGTCTGCTTCAGTCTGATGGGTTGAACCGCCACGACGTTTTTGGCATTTCGGCTTTCCTTGGAGTGGAAGAATGACCCAAATCAACCCCTACGAACAACGGACCCCGACACGCCCAAAGAAAATTATGCAGTTTGGCCTCAAAAAGGCGGCTGGACGACCATCAAAGTGGATGAGGTATCTTCCATGGCTAGGGCTTTCGGGTTTTGCGGCTTACGTTGGGAACGTCGGTTTGGGACATCTTCCTGTATAATTTCCTGGAGATGTTTTTTAAAGCGTTTTTGTACAAGAAGGGGTTCAAATTCCGAAACCACCAAACCAAACCACCAATCAAGGGTTACGCGATACCCTTGCACGTTGAAGTGTTTATGCTAAGAAGCGATTCAGGATCTTGCATGTCTTGCAATCAGCTTCTGCGCGGAACCGGAGCAGCTGGGACTTGCGAGGAGACATGTTTCGTGTTGCCAAGCCAATCAGTTCTCACGGCCTCGATCTAGACAGGCTTGCGATTCCGGCCCAATGTAGATGAGGGGCACTCGTGAATGGTAAAAATCCTGGTGGTGCCCGACCATGATTTTCGTGGTTGAGATCCAGGGTCTGCCGCAATATTGATTGCAGCAGTTCCGAATTCTGGCATGTGTTTGGGTCTCGGAAGGGAGGCGTAGATGTTTACGATGAGTCTTGGGTTGTCTATGGGATGTGGGATGCTTCCGCAGGCAACCTTGGAGAAACTCTATGCCTACTCCGTAAGAGCGGAAGCAGAAGGGCTGGCAGCGTCACTGTTTTACTGCTTTCACCTGCTGAAGTTTTGCCGGTGCTGAGCTGCCATGCTGCTTGACAAACTGCATGACCAAAGAGAGGAGTGAGTTTTGAATTCACTGATGAAGAGGCTTGGAGTTGTATTTCCTTGTTGTCAATGCCACGCTTCCGGCGTACCTCTTGGTGGTAGACGATCACGAGGACAAGGCACTTGCAGCAGCGCGGACTTCTGGCATGTGTTTGGGTCTCGGAAGTGAAGCCAAGATGATTACGCTGGTTGAGTCCTGGGTTGTCCATGGGATGTGGGATGCTTCCGCAGGCAACCTTGGAGCAGGTGAGAAGACTCTTTGCCTACTCCGTAAGAGCGGAAGTGCTGAGCTGCCATGCTGCTTGACAAACTGCATGACCAAGGAGAGGAGTGAGTTTTGAATTCACTGATGAAGAGGCAGGAGATGTATTTTCTTGTTGCCAAATCTACGCTTGGTGGTTGACGATTACGAGGACAAGGCACTTGCAGCAGCGCGGACTTCTGGCATGTGTTTGGGTCTCGGAAGTGAAGCCAAGATGATTACGCTGGTTGAGTCCTGGGTTGTCCATGGGATGTGGGATGCTTCCGCAGGCAACCTTGGAGAAGGTGGTAAGACTCTTTGCCTACTCCGTAAGAGCGGAAGCAGAAGGGCTGGCAGCGTCACTGTTTTACTGCTTTCACCTGCTGAAGTTTTGCCGGTGCTGAGCTGCCATGCTGCTTGACAAACTGCATGACCAAGGAGAGGAGTGAGTTTTGAATTCACTGATGAAGAGGCAGGAGATGTAGTTTCTTGTTGCCAAATCTACGCTTGGTGGTTGACGATTACGAGGACAAGGCACTTGCAGCAGCGCGGACTTCTGGCATGTGTTTGGGTCTCGGAAGTGAAGCCGAGATGATTACGCTGGTTGAGTCCTGGGTTGTCCATGGGATGTGGGATTCTTCCGCAGGCAACCTTGGAGCAGGTGAGAAGACTCTTTGCCTACTCCGTAAGAGCGGAAGCAGAAGGGCTGGCAGCGTCACTGTTTTACTGCTTTCACCTGCTGAAGTTTTGCCGGTGCTGAGCTGCCATGCTGCTTGACAAACTGCATGACCAAGGAGAGGAGTGAGTTTTGAATTCACTGATGAAGAGGCAGGAGATGTAGTTTCTTGTTGCCAAATCTAAGCTTGGTGGTTGACGATTACAAGGACAAGGCACTTGCAGCAGCGCGGACTTCTGGCATGTGTTTGGGTCTCGGAAGTGAAGCCAAGATGATTACGCTGGTTGAGTCCTGGGTTGTCCATGGGATGTGGGATGCTTCCGCAGGCAACCTTGGAGCAGGTGAGAAGACTCTTTGCCTACTCCGTAAGAGCGGAAGCAGAAGGGCTGGCAGCGTCACTGTTTTACTGCTTTCACCTGCTGTATTTGTGCAGGTGCTGAGCTAGCATGCTGCTTGACAAACTGCATCACCAAAGAGAGGAGTGAGTTTTGAATTCACTGATGAAGAGGCTTGGAGTTGTATTTCCTTGTTGTCAATGCCACGCTTCCGGCGTACCTCTTGGTGGTAGACGATCACGAGGACAAGGCACTTGCAGCAGCGCGGACTTCTGGCATGTGTTTGGGTCTCGGAAGTGAAGCCAAGATGATTACGCTGGTTGAGTCCTGGGTTGTCCATGGGATGTGGGATGCTTCCGCAGGCAACCTTGGAGCAGGTGAGAAGACTCTTTGCCTACTCCGTAAGAGCGGAAGCAGAAGGGCTGGCAGCGTCACTGTTTTACTGCTTTCACCTGCTGTAGTTGTGCCGGTGCTGAGCTAGCATGCTGCTTGACAAACTGCATGGCCAAAGAGAGGAGTGAGTTTTGAATTCACTGATGAAGAGGCTTGGAGTTGTATTTCCTTGTTGTCAATGCCACGCTTCCGGCGTACCTCTTGGTGGTAGACGATCACGAGGACAAGGCACCTGCAGCAGCGCGGACTTCTGGCATGTGTTTGGGTCTCGGAAGTGAAGCCAAGATGATTACGCTGGTTGAGTCCTGGGTTGTCCATGGGATGTGGGATGCTTCCGCAGGCAACCTTGGAGAAGGTGAGAAGACTCTCCGCCTACTCCGTAAGAGCGGAAGCAGAAGGGCTGGCAGCGTCACTGTTTTACTGCTTTCACCTGCTGAAGTTGTGCCGGTGCTGAGCTAGCATGCTGCTTGACAAACTGCATGACCAAGGAGAGGAGTGAGTTTTGAATTCACTGATCAAGAGGCTTGGAGTTGTATTTCCTTGTTGTCAATGCCACGCTTCCGGCGTACCTCTTGGTGGTAGACGATCACGAGGACAAGGCACTTGCAGCAGCGCGGACTTCTGGCATGTGTTTGGGTCTCGGAAGTGAAGCCAAGATGATTACGCTGGTTGAGTCCTGGGTTGTCCATGGGATGTGGGATGCTTCCGCAGGCAACCTTGGAGAAGGTGAGAAGACTCTTTGCCTACTCCGTAAGAGCGGAAGCAGAAGGGCTGGCAGCGTCACTGTTTTACTGCTTTCACCTGCTGAAGTTGTGCCGGTGCTGAGCTAGCATGCTGCTTGACAAACTGCATGACCAAAGAGAGGAGTGAGTTTTGAATTCACTGATCAAGAGGCTTGGAGTTGTATTTCCTTGTTGTCAATGCCACCCTTCCGGCGTACCTCTTGGTGGTAGACGATCACGAGGACAAGGCACTTGCAGCAGCGCGGACTTCTGGCATGTGTTTGGGTCGTGGAAGTGAGGCGTAGACGTTTACGATGAGTCTTGGGTTGTCCATGGGATGTGGGATGCTTCCGCAGGCAACCTTGGAGAAGGTGGTAAGACTCTTTGCCTACTCCGTAAGAGCGGAAGCAGAAGGGCTGGCAGCGTCACTGCTTTACTGCTTTCACCTGCTGAAGTTTTGCCGGTGCTGAGCTAGCATGCTGCTTGACAAACTGCATGAGTGAATTTTGAATTCACTGATGAAGAGGCTTGGAGTTGTATTTCCTTGTTGTCAATGCCACGCTTGCGGCGTACCTCTTGGTGGTAGACGATCACGAGGACAAGGCACTTGCAGCAGCGCGGACTTCTGGCATGTGTTTGGGTCGTGGAAGTGAGGCGTAGACGTTTACGATGAGTCCTGGGTTGTCCATGGGATGTGGGATGCTTCCGCAGGCAACCTTGGAGCTGGTGAGAAGACTCTTTGCCTACTCCGTAAGAGCGGAAGCAGAAGGGCTGGCAGCGTCACTGTTTTACTGCTTTCACCTGCTGAAGTTTTGCCGGTGCTGAGCTAGCATGCTGCTTGACAAGCTGCATGACCAAGGAGAGGAGTGAGCTTTGAATTCACTGATGAAGAGGTTTGGAGTTGTATTTCCTTGTTGTCAATGCCACGCTTCCGGCGTACCTCTTGGTGGTAGACGATCACGAGGACAAGGCACTTGCAGCAGCGCGGACTTCTGGCATGTGTTT